TCTATGGTTTGATTCATTTCTAAAAATCGGGCACAACGCTAAAACCCGGGGATAGCCATGAGATTCAGTTTTGCAACAAAATACTCAACCAAACATTGACTATCGAAATACTCAATGGTTTCTCTTCCATATCTTGCACCAAAGTTTAAAAAATGGTTTATTTTAGTATAAAGCATGGCAAATTTATTGCTGAAGCAAGGTGTTGTGTAAAGTTGTTTTTCAGTCTTTTTTCTTAGAACCATCTTCTGCTGAAGTGCATTTGACTTTTGTGTACGCCAGTTTCCAGTTGTCTTTGGCATGCTTGGCGACATCAGATTCAACCCGTTCAGTGTTCTCAGCTTTGGTTAGATCCAAGCACGGATTCATTTCGACTGGTATATTTTGCGGCCGCATACAATTGCCCCGGGATCGACTAGTGTCATTGGCAAAGCATTTGTCATGTGGCCCACAAGGCGTGGGTATGAACTCTCGGCCCGTATAACGCAAAGTGGACAAAGGTGGATTATTGCAGGCCAAACTATATGACGCACAAGCCCAGCCGCCGCACATCTCGACTATTGATTGATTTTGGCTAATGGATATAATGAGAATAATGTATATGCAATATTAGCTTTATCTGAGAAACTTACTGTTGGAACTGTAAAATTTTGGTGTGAGATGTTGGCTGGCAACAACTAGACTCGTTTCATGATTTAACAATATTTTCCCCATTTCCATGCGGGATTACGAAGTCAACGCCAACATTGATTTAAAAAAAAAAAATCTGCAGCTCCTGTTAAATTTGCTGTACTAACATGTACGTATGTATATTTGATCACACATCTTACCAGCGTTTATTTCAACATTTACTACCAACCGCAACACCCTCCACAACCGCCACCGCAGGCCGAGCAATTATCAAAGATGCCACAGGGCGTGGGCGCAAAACAACGACCTGTGTAGCGCATATTGGACAACCGATGATTGTTGCAGGCGATGCCATATGAAGCGCAGGCCCAACCTCCACACATTCTTGCTTTTTCCTATTGGTTTTTGAGTTAAAATTGCAATGGAAAACCGGGAGAAAATCTGGAATTTGTATTTAAACCAATTTGGAGACGAAACGTATATGGAAATTTGTGTGTGGGTGTATGTGTGTGTCTATTGGTTGTTGTTGTGGCTGTGCTTTAGGTGTTGCTTGGACCGAAAAAGGAATTCGAATGAAATCCATTTTCATAGACAGAGCTCGTCGTCAGCGCCGTAACTCGTGACAGCTGTTGACATGCCCAGCGACGCCGGCTTGTACAATTGAAATCTCAGCGACAGGTCGAGAGCAAACCAGGCAGGCAACCGGGCAACCCAGGCCAGACCAGACCAGCCCACTCCAGACTAGGCCAGACCATTTCGTAAATCTTGCCAAGCCCTGTTGAAATCCACGAAAATCTCGCACATAGCGCAGGAAAAAAAAAATGAAAAAATATGCTAAAAACCGAGGCATGCTAAAGTGAAATTAATCCAACAACCAGGCACAGTGGTTGCAGTTGGAAATTGACTTGAAATTGACGTCGAAATTGACAAGAATTGTGTTCGATATTCTCTGATAGTATTATATTTTAATTTAGTTTTAAAAAGAGTATTCTTTATGGAAACTATGATTGAGAGCGTTTGTAATTGCTTGTAAATAGTAGCTTTATTTAAATATTATATTTTTCTAAATTTATTTGAATAACAAAATCTTTAGACAATGACCAACTTTTGTCCAAATCAAATTAAAATTATTTTTATTTAAGCAACTCTAAGAAACTAATACCTATAAATTATAATATTTTTGTTTTTCTCAAACATATTTCTATAAATATCTTAGCTAAAGAATTATATTGTTACCTTGATATAAATTGTGTTAAGTAACAACCTAATCAAACCTAATTCCATTTGGCATGAAGGTTCAGGCACCCTTTCAGCTGCCTCAATTAATAGTTTAATGACAAATTAAAACATTGATATATGAAACCTTTAGAAATTCTCAAATGCCAACCACTGTGCAGCCTCGCACGCAGTTGGTATGCAAAAATCGCACACACTTGCGCCCAGAAGGACCACTAGACAATCTATGTTACAGCTTTTTTTCGCACTTGCCGTAGTGCACTTTCAGGTCTTGCTCAGCCAGGCCCAGACAATCAATTACATTAGCCCCACTGACCCAACCAACCGCAGCGGCATGCCCAAAAACCGAGTCCGGCCTTTGAATGCGGGTCGCTCGATTCACTCGTGTGGCTTGGCTGCCATGTAGACGTGCTCCGGGGTGGGGCAGTTAAAGGTGAAAGGAGTTGCAGTTGTCTTGGGAAAAGCCAAATAGGCGACCGCAAGGGTAAATACAAATTTAAATGACATTTAATAGTTGGCAGGCGTGTGCAGCTTTGAGGTAAGCTTCTGCCTGCTGCTGCAGTTTTGAGGTTAGATGTTGCAGCTTTGAGGTTAGAGCACAGTGACAGCTATTAAGGTTGCCCCTATGGGGCACCTGGATAAGCACGTGCGGGCGGAAGAGGGGCAGAGGCGACTGTCCGAAGTCAACCTGGCGTCAAATGTCAAATGTCATTTGTTCAGTGTCAGATTGATAGATTTTGGAAAATATTAAAATTGGACAAAAAACTGTTTAAAAAAATCCTGGTCAAAGTGTTTTGCCAATCGAAGCCAAAGAAGGTGCTAAATATTACCGAGGCAGTTGCAAATTGCCTGCCATATTTAGCACATTTTTTGCGTGGCTTATTTGCAAAAGAGGAAAACCGCAAGAATAACGCCGGAAAGTACTTCACAACACAGGTGCTTGGCAGACGAGAGGTAAAACGTTAAATGGGCTGCTCCTCCAAATGCGGAACTGGCGGGGGCTGTGGATCCTGCATGGGCCCCCGCCGTGGATCCTGCAAGAGTTCCCGTGGGACTCGTTGTGCGCCCTGCTGCAGCCCGTGCGGACAGTGCAACTCGTGCGGACCGTGCAACTCGTGCGGACCATGCGGGCCGTGCGGCTCGTGCGGCACGTGCGGTCCGTGCAACTCGTGCGGTTCGTGCGGACCGTGTGGTCCGTGCGGCCCCTGTGGCGGGGGAGCCTGTGCTCCATGCGGATCCTGCGCTCCCTGTGGATCATGCTGCTGTGGTCAAACGGCCTGCGGTGTTGTCTCCTATCACCTTACGAGCGGGCCTTGCGGCCCAGTTCTGCCAAGCATGGAACGCTGCGGCTGCTGCGATTGCGGCTGCTGTCCGCCTTTTTATTTTGTGCCCAACAGGTGCGCCTGCTGCTGGGAATGGGGCTGCTTTGGGCCATTCTATTAGATCCAGGCGATTCGGCGTTGCGTTTGGCTTTTTCCAAAATTTGAACAAACTTTTTGATATTTTTGAGCTCAATAAATTTGTGTGTGTCATACAATATTTTACAACATTTTTTTTCTATCGTTTTTTCTCTTTTGACAACTCTGGCACAACAAGGTTGCCGAAATGAAAGATTATTTAACGTTCGAATTTGTTCGAAGGCAAAAAGTAAAAGTATAAAAAAACGCAAACATTGGGCTAAACACAATGGCAAACGCCGTCGAAACCCAATTTGCTTGTTTTCGGGTTAACCCCAAAAATAACAATAACAACAAGCAAGAATAATAGAAAAGAACACAATAAAACAAAAAAGCAAACCGGCAACATGTAAAAACAAGAAGCACATTTTTTTTTTTTGTCGAAAGGCCACAAGAATGTATTGTTGATTAAAGTAGGTCAGGGGCTGCAATCGGTGTATTTTTGTCCAGCCAAAATTCGTTTTACTATATGCAAACGGGTTAATTGAAAACGTTGTAACTGAAAAGTGAAAAGTTGGCACGGCTCACAAATTAAATATTTGAAAATTGGGCAACAAACTGTGCTTAAACTTGTTATAAATAGTTTATAGATGCCGCTTTTTGTTATAGCTTGGTTATAGAGCATAAATTATTTAACTGGAAGATAAAGATATAATATTTTGTATGAAGTGACATTGAGAAATTACTAGAATAATCTCTTAGCTCAGGCAAGGTTTGTTTATATATTGACATCCAAAAGTATACCCGGAATAGTTAAGGCTGTCCTAAGCTCTAAACAGTTTCAACAAATCCCAAAAACAAATCTATAAGGCAGTCCTAGTCTGAAACAACACTCTTTAGCTGAATACTTGTCACAATTTCAATGAATATTTTAGTGACTCTTTGCTTTACGTAGACATAATCTTTATACGTCGGGTACTACTAATGACCAGCAAAGTAAAAGACTTCGCCAGTGTGACCGTGTATGCTAGACATCGATAATGTGACATTACTATCCTACTGCAGTTCTTAGATACATTTGAGATTGTTTCTTAAGCAGCTTTAAAGTAGCTCCAGGGCATTACTAGGCACTACAAAAAAGCTCTAAATAAGCTTTAATACAACTGTAACCGAGCTCGATCATAGTTCTGAAGTAAATTTAGGGATTTACTTTTGAACACTCGTCAGATACCTTCAACACGCTTTTTCAAATAATTTTCGAGCCTTTTCAAAGCTGGCTTGGGCGACCTTTCTGGCTGGCTCGATTATCGAGATTGATTAAAAACAAAAATAAAACACACTTTTGTTTTAAATTATATCTTTCGATGTATTTCGACTGCGCTTCTTTTGAAAAAATATACTATAACACATCTCTTAAACAGTTTTAAATTATTATTACTTTAAAAAAAAGGGTATAATATTTCTACTAGAAATTAATCAAGTTTCTATATTGTTAGACGCACGGCGACTTTTAACTAAAGACACACGAATGGGGAATAAGGCAACTGTATAAATAATTTTAATAAGTACGAGAAATAGTAAAAGCAAAAATATTGTATTAACATGATTTATATGCAATTAAAGCATAAATAATTTAGTTATCCATAACACTAAAACAATAATTCATAATAAGACCTAAGCTTTTTGGAGAGTTCCATAAACTAACTAGTAAGCACTTCCAATTGGCACACCTTGTCTAATATCGCATCCAATTGGATTGTATTTCTAATTGGCGTGCCACTTAGCTATTTTGTTTCTCTTGGAAAATGTTTATCATAGTGTTGTTGCTTGGTTGGCCCACAGGTAATTAAAATCTCACTAAAAACGTGTTAAATATTTAAATATAATTTATAACTATCTAGTTTTTGGCACTTATGCCTGCAACGAATGTTTTTGCTTTAAAGAATTGGAAAAATCAAACCCTGTCGATTGTCAAAGCTATGATGGAAATGTGAAAAAGTTCTACTATGGAAATGCTGCCTGCGAAGCGCTACAACCTGGCGACAATTGTTATCCGAAGGTGTTTACAAGTCTAGCTGCTTGCAAAGCGGCATGTAAACGTTTTTTTTACTATGCGCAGGAATGGAAAAAGTTGCCAATCATTGATTAAAATAAAAAAGTTAAATATTGAAAAAAGAAAAACATTTGCTCTTCATAAACTTGATTAAAAAAAGCCCGACTTATCAAGAAAATTAACCATTTTAATAAATAAATTTAATAAAGTAAAACCAATTTGTATTATCTAATTATAAAAGAATTATGAAAAGAAAAAAATTAATATTAAGAGCATTTTTGTGTAACAAAATTTTATAAACATGAGCTTTTCCATTTTCTTATAAAAATAATAATGAAATGGAACAAATTTACATGAGATATTCCAAACATTAAACAGAAAAATAAGATTTCCACAAAAGAACTCTCAAAATATTATATTTATTTTCAGCTTGATTTCATGTGATATCAATAAATGTATTTAATATAAAAGCTGCAAAACTTTTCAGTTCTCTAGAAATAGATGCGTACAATTTATGCATAAATATGCGACATTAAATTGATTTCAAATTGATTTGCTTAAATTGCCAAATGTTTGTGTCGCTCTCTATTATTTGGCAAAATTAATTTCTTGCACATTACGCATACGACAAGCTTGTCTCTATTTATGCTAACAAATTAATGCAGCTTAGATTAATCACGGGCATTGTTTATCACTCATACGCAAAGTTGTCGGTCTATAATTTATATACACACATTTTATGCGAATTTGCAGGCTGGCTTTGACAAAACAATAGAGCTTTTAAGTAATTGTAGATGCTATTCCTGATTAAATTAATAAATTAAATTTAGAATTTACCTATGCCGAAACCAATTGCTTTGTACAAACAAGCTCTTTAGCATCGCTTATTACTGATAAGTTCTCAACTGCTTGGGAATTTCATCAATTGTTTCTCATATTTGTTATAATCTCTTATTTTGATATGCTCATTCATTTAATAAATTATTCATATTTATGGTAAGCTCTCAGAGATTTTGAGATTTGTTAATTGAATTCGTGGGCATTTTTCTATTATTTGCTTCATATTTGCTTAAGGGGTTTAATTTTCTTCAAGTTCTCAGGCATATTTTAGTTGTATTCTTAAGTTCTCAAATGACTTTGAAATATTTATTAAAATTCTTAATATGCTTTTAATTGTCCCTTAACATTTATTCAAAGCACATAAGAATTATAGCTCGACCCTTGCAACATTTTTAATATTACCTCTAACTGTAGATATTATTGATAATATTTAAGTTGGCGTACTCGACTCATTTAATATTTCTATAAGCTAAATGAGATGCCAAATAAAAAGCCAAAACTTATTCTGATAGCCGCTTACCTTTGGGGCCTAACAAATTGTTTGCATTATTGTTGTTGTTGCCTTTGATTATTTGCAGTCTAAATTAATAAATTTAGCACGTTACAGTGTTACACAACGCTCGCCGGTTGCAGTCCTGTGTAAAAACACACACATTCCGCACACACACACACACACACGGCGTCGTCGTCGACGTGGGATTTGAACTTTGTGACCGACTGTGAGACTGAGACTTGAACCGGTATCAAATGCGAGACCGAGACCGAGACCGAGACCGAGACCGAGACCGAAACCGGACCGTGCTATCCTACGTGAATGCCCAAAAGTTGTTATTGTTATTTCTCTCTTTGTTGTTGTTGTTGCGCATTTTTCACATATTTTTTATAATTTTACGCGCAACGCAAAAAAAAGCGAAGCAGAGAAAACAGTGTTCGGCCCCTACCCAAAAATAATGTAAAGAGCATAAAATATTGTAAAAGCCGAACAAAAGTTTTACGTTGTTTGTTACCAAAACGCACAAATCTCTAGTGAAATATTAATTCTCACAATTCCTGACACATTGCCATTGGCTGCATTTGAAGCTGTTTGTTGGTTGTTTTTGTTTGATTTGTTGCCTTTGGCAAATGCAACTGTATTTTTTATTTTTTATTTTTACTTTGTATTGTTTATTAATTGTTGTCGTCCGCTAATTCTTATTTATTTATGCACCAGACGCGCCCTGTGCAACATATTTCGTTGGCGTTGTTGTTGTTCTCTTCTTGTTGTTGTCCTTGCGTGGCAGCGTCGTTGACAGCGGCAGCAGCAGCAGCATCAGCGGCGGCAGCAGCAGCAGCACTGGCAGCAGCAGCAGCACAGCGAACCAAACGTTTTGACATTATCAACGTAACTGAAGCAGCAGCAGCAGGAAGCTGTCGTCCTCTGCCTGTCGCAGTCGCCGGCTGTGGGCCGCGGTCGCCAATGCTGTCGCCCTTTGCTCGTTCGTGCGCCGCTCGCAACTTAACGAATGCAGCCGAAGTGCTTAACCAGTCGGCCGCACAGCGCTTCGTGTTTGGGCATTTTGTGAGTGCGGCGAACAGCTGACTGTGTGAGAGCGTGAACAGCGTGTGATGTAATTTGCGAAAGCTTTTTAGTTCGAATTTGTGCCTTTTAGGGGATATTTCTCACATAGCAGTCCACTGTTAAGTTAACAGGCTGTATTCTAGCTAATTTTAGCAGCGCTTTGACATTGAATGCTATGTTAAGTTCAATACAAATTCCATTTAAATCTTTAGATTTGTGTATTTACAAAGTAGTTTTTTATATTAAAATATATTAAGGTTAAGTTAGAACAAGCCTAATTCATAAATTTATTTATATCTTATTTAAATTGTATTTTTCGCAATAATAATATACATACATGTTTTTAAATATTGGGTTAAATATTAGGTTAACAAATATTGCATTTTTACATGGCTTATAATTATTTGAGCATAAATTCGTTTAGTTTAATTAATTTTGCTTACGCAGCAAGCTAATCGGAAATCATACGCAAAGGCTTAGCTACAATATTTTAATCCTAAAACCAATTTTAATCCTTATTAAAAACTGAACAAAATTACAATAAACCTGTTTATAAATGCCGATTTAGACTGTAATTGTGCCACGTCCGTTTAAGCTGTAAAAACAATAATGAAGACAACTCAAAGGATGAAGGATCAACTGACAAAAAGCACGCATAGCTATGGAAAACATATTGACATCCCTTTAATATGAATTATAAAGGGGAAGGCAACATATAAAGCAATAAACAAGAAAATACAAAATGCATGCGACAAGAGAAAGGAAACATGTGTGCTGTAAAAACACACACGCACACACACAGTCGCATACATAAAGGATATGTGGCAGGACAATAGCTGGCAAAATGTAAATATTAATATTGTCATAATGGACAACAAGTAAGCAGCAAATGTGCTTTGGACAACTTTAAATGCAGCTCGAAGCGTCGTTAAACCAATGCCAGGACAACAGCAACAACAATAACAGCCAGGACAACAGCTAACAGGACACTGGCTGCAAAATGTCAGCTCATTTCCGGTTGCTTAATTTGAAATCGTAGCGCAAAAATTACAAATGAGCTGACAATGCGAACACAACCAAGAACCCAAACAACCGAAAAATAACAGGGCTAACAATTTGAAGAGCAGCAAGGAAATGTTGGCTGATTTTGGGCTTTGGGGGCGTGGCATTAGGCAGTGGTGTCGCTGGCTAGGGTGGAGTCTGGAGGGGCTGTGGGCTGTTTCTGTCGGGAAACAATAAGCACAAAATAGCTGCGTCTAATACGCAAAAATAAACGAGAGCTGGCCACAGCATGACAGCAAGGCAGAGCCCGGCATTGGCAGCAGACACCCTACTACCAGCTACACCCTAGTGCGGCCCCACATCCTGCTAGCCACATGCTCTGGCCCCAATGCTGTGTGTTGTTTTACAATTTAACGCACATCCTGACAAGCAAAACGCAGTCGCCCAACAGTTTAATTTTTGTCGCAGTCTGTGTTACCCTCCCCCCCTACCCTTCTCACTATATCTCTCGCTCTCTCTGTCTCTCTCTCTCTCTCTCTCTCTCTCTTTGTGTGTGTGCGTCTGCACTCTAATCTAATGATGACAAGCGTCGTCTGGGAAATGTGTGGGCGTGGCTTTTAGCTGCATGCGCTTAGCTATTGCACTCAGCCATGGCAGCAACATTGCGTATACGCCGCGTTGCACTTGTGTCCAAATTGTTGTGCATTCACCTTTCTGCCACGTCTGCTCAGATCTGTTGCGAGGGGAAGCGGTATGCCTTAACTGCCAGCTGCTTTGTCAAGCTGACAGACAGCTGACACCCAGATAGACAGACTCACAGAAAGCGCACGCTTTGGTCCAAAGCTGTGGAAATGCCTCTTTGAGTGTTGCCCGCACTTAAGTAGCAAGTTTTGTGTTTCGTGCAGGCGATTATTAATCCAAACTCAAGTGTGTGCACACTTATTAATTTATGTTTATTATATTAACATTGCTTCAGTACGCATATAAATATAAAAATTGTTGGGCAAAACGGAAAGTTATCTATAACCATAACAATAAATCTATAACTATCTGTAACTATTAATTAAATCTGACCTAAGTATGTTTAAATAATCTATAAGCTCTGACATCTTTTAAAGCTACGAAAACCGTATTCACAACAGGAAGAAATAATTGCATACTCTATAATTTTACATATTTTCCCAGAACTTACAAATTGATATACATATACATATATATATAAATCTTTGCTTGAAAATATAAGTATATAAAGTAGCTCCATGTTTGCTTGAAAAGGTGCGCCCAAAATCGATATTACCTGATTTGGTATAAACGGATCGACTTATCGATAATTTAAAAAGTTTTTAATGACTAAACTATGGTAAGCTTGAATTTTTGGCATTTAGATCTCAAAGTCCCTGTACAGATCGACGGACTGACAGTCGCACATTGTAAGTAAATCGAGTCATCTTTCGATGAAATTCATTGGATAGTTATCGATACTTCTATTGTCAATGAATTGATATATAGAGACGCTGCCCAAGCTCATGGTCAACATTATATTTGTGTTATCGAAGATGTCGTCTTCTGCCGAACTTTAATAGGCCCCCTTTTTACTACATTTCAGTATTCAAATGCTTATATGTATGAAATATTGGGAATAATAGCTAAAATGATTAATTGCTTTATCTCTGATATTTACATACAGCATATTCTTATGTTAAATAATATTTAGTTAAAATGGTTAAGCTATCTTAGATAAGTAACTATTTTAGCATCTTTTAGACCTGCGACTGGCTGTGCCTCAACTTATGCAAACTGTTCAAAATAAACTTCAAAATATTCAACTTTCAACTTGCTTAGCGCATTACTTGAAACGCATCGCACCGCCTCGCCCCGACGTCGAGGCGACGACTTGAGCGTATAACTTCTGCGGGGGGGCAAAGTACACACTTAAACATTCACGCACACACACATACTTGACTTACACACCTGGCACAAAGCTGCGAGCGAGCTAACTTCATTTGCGCCACTCAACTAATTGGCTAATTTATGCAAGTCAAATAAATGTCATGTCAACATATAATTAGTTGGCCAAATGGCGTGCGGCCCCAAATGTGAAAATGTGGCACAAAAACCTTTGGTGGCAAATATGCATTTCATAAATTATGCATGATTTGCATATGCCAGCCACTAATTAAATTAGAAAATATTTTTTACAAAAATAGCTCAAGTTAAGGCAAAAGAAAAGCATATCAGGTGGCAAATGCAGCAGCTGCTGCTTTTTTAGGTTCTTTTTTTAAGGTTAACTCGACTGACAGCTTGTCAGCTGCCGCTGCCAGCATAATTTTGTTATTGTTTTGCATTGCATTAGACAGGGTTAAGGGGGTTAACAGAGGGAGAGAGTGTGAGAGAGGGAGAGAAAGAGAGAAGGGGAAGCAGCAACAGAAGCTAAGGGCAACAGTCAACAGGCAACTTGCAACAGGCAGCTAGGCGCTGCCTCAGTTGCGTCTTAATCTATTGGATTAGCGTAATGCAATTAGGCGCGCAGGCAAACGTTGCCTAAGCCTTAGTTGCCTGACAGCTTTTGGCCAGAACTAAGACAGCGTATACCGAGCCCCGCCCACGTGTACGCCCAACTCCTTTGCATAACCCAAACCCAACTCAATTAAACTGTGTGGACTTTGCGCATTATCAAATTGCCCAGCAACCATTAGCAACAGCAAAGGGGTGCAGTGCAAAGGGGGTGGGGTGGGGTAAATGTGTGTGTGTGTGTGTGTTTAGATGGAGGTCAGCTTGAACCTTCATAATACTGAATTCGTAAATATACCATATGCATTTCACTATCTATATCTATATCTATATCTATATCTATATCTATATCTATATCTATATCTATATCTATATCTATATCTATATCTATATCTATATCTATATCTATATCTATATCTATATCTATATCTAGATCTATATCTATATCTATATCTATATCTATATCTATATCTATATCTATATCTATATCTATATCTATATCTATATCTATATCTATATCTATATCTATATCTATATCTATATCTATATCTATATCTATATCTATATCTATATCTATATCTATATCTATATCTATATCTATATCTATATCTATATCTATATCTATATCTATATCTATATCTATATCTATATCTATATCTATATCTATATCTATATCTATATCTATATCTATATCTATATCTATATCTATATCTATATCTATATCTATATCTATATCTATATCTATATCTATATCTATATCTATCTATCTATATCATATCTATATCTATATCTATATCTATATCTATATCTATCTATCTATATCTATATCTATATCTATATCTATATCTATATCTATATCTATATCTATATCTATATCTATATCTATATCTATATCTATATCTATATCTATATCTATATCTATATCTATATCTATATCTATATCTATATCTATATCTATATCTATATCTATATCTATATCTATATCTATATCTATATCTATATCTATATCTATATCTATATCTATATCTATATCTATATCTATATCTATATCTAACTATATCTATATCTATATCTATATCTATATCTATATCTATATCTATCTATATCTATATCTATATCTAGATCTATAGCTATATCTATATCTATATCTATATCTATATCTATATCTATATCTATATCTATATCTATATCTTAGCTATATCTATATCTATATCTATATCTATATCTATATCTATATCTATATCTATATCTATATCTATATCTATATCTATATCTATATCTATATCTATATCTATATCTATATCTATATCTATATCTATATCTATATCTATATTTCGTGGCCTTGTTATATGTTGAGAGCATCGGAAAATAGACAGTTCGAGGCTCATCAAATATTAGTGAGACGGCTAACAAAATAGCTCGCACTAAATCCACGTCAAAATGCAGCCAAAAATAAATAAACAAGCCGCCGCCACCGCCCAGTTCAATAACAGTTCCGAGAACCATATTCACTTTCCCTAGCCCCAAAATTCACCCAAAACTTGCATCTAACTCTCAAACGCAATTCGAACGACCGTCAGTTTTGGCGCATAAAAAATGGTTGCAAATTTCA